TATAGAGCCTCCTTACTACTTCTTAAGTTTAAAACAAAATCAACTACACCAACAGCCTAAACAGGCAATTGGCTTTCTGGTTAAAACTTTTTGTGGGCACAGAGATTGGCTTACAGCATCAAACTTGCATGTCTTCTTTACTCTTATGTCAGTTTCACAAACCTCAAAAAATTGAGATGAAAATAAATTAATCTGACATAGAAAAATTGCACACATTTCTAATACATACAGATACTTCTTTTTGCACTATCCTAGACTTACAGCTCTACAGTCATTCAGACTTGTTTTTACTCTTTGATCTGTGTCCATTCTAAACTGACCTGAAAAGGAAAGAGTAGAACAGCACCTGAGAAGATAGTGGTGAGCACTACATCCAACACCTGCATTAAGAGGACTACTCACCTTCCACATATACAGGTGTGTGACCTCTCCAGTGAACTAAAAGAATGCAGCACACCTACTTTCAAGGTAGAATCTGTTCATAACAAAAAGGTGTTAAGATTGGAACTGCAGAAAAGATTGAAAACTTCAGAAAGCTAAAAATTCTTTGTCTAGTTCCTATCAACCCACATGCGGTTAAAATACTGTCCAGAAATGAAATTTTGCACAACAGAAGAGTTAGGGAGACTGCTATTTCAGGGTATCTTCTCTTCTCTATGTGTTGCCTTTTTCCCAGCTTGGAAATGAAACTCAAGAGAATTTTAGTAAGAAGGCAACATAAAAGAGGATCTTTATTTCAAGGCCTCCAGGGGCAGTTATGGAAAGATACCCAGAAAAGCCCACCTCCACAACGATGAGTACATATTTATAGGTTTTAGGAAAGTAGCATAATTGATAAAAAGCACCAATTAGGAGGACAAGTGGTGATTCAATTTCCCCTCCAGGTCAAACTCCTTCTCTGGAGCCCCCTCTTCAGCACTAGTTGTGCTTTGGCCATGAGAATGCATCTCGAAGAGTTGTTCCTGGTCTTGGTTCCCAGGAAGAACCAAGATAGCACTGGGGCCTTGTACCTCCCAGGGCTTGGAGCTCTGGAATTTGTTTTGTCTTTCTGCTTAGGGAAAGGTCATGGAAAATTACAGGGATAACTAGCCACGAATACAATAGGCTACAGAGCTACAAACATATGTGTGAAAAATACAGAGAACATATAAAAGGTAAAAAAAAAGGCAAAACCCAAAATGGCATCATATAGGTTCCCTAAAATCTTCAATTCAGCATCCTTTCCCAAAAAGTTTATAAACAGTTTCATCAAAATATCCTCTAGAAAACTTCTTTCCAATAAAATTCTGGTTTAAGTTTACTAAACTGCCCTAGAAGTCTCCTTGTAGCAGTTCATTAATTGTAACTGGATTTTGTCTTACTGCTAGTTAAGGCAGAGGTGACCTATACTTTATTATTCTTATAAATATGAGGACCTGAAATCAGGAGGTCTTTAAAATGGCTATCATACTAGCACACATCAGAATCTCTTATTCCTCATTAATTGGAAAATACATTTTCAAACTGTTTCAAAACGCACAAAAAGTGAATTCTGACACAGTATGAGTAGTTGCACTTCTATGTAAAACACCAAGCCCATATTTGGTCTAAAAGAAGTCATCTTAGGCCTGATTCCTGTCAGTAGAGTCAGTAAGTCACAGGTTTATGATAGGTACAGAGTTAGTCTGCTAGTATTAAAAGAACCATAAATGTATACAAGAATTTTATTCTTTATCCTGCATCCATTAAATGTCTCAGAGGACTCCAGGCCACCTCCTCACACATGTAAGTAAAAGCTGAAGAATAAAAAGCAAGGACTGATTTTATCTCAAGGTTATGGAAACATCACTAAACCATAAAACCACGCTGTCAAAAATTTATCTTGACATTAGAAAATGTCTCAGTGGAGTTAAAGCCTTACCACGTAATTAGCTGCAGATAATTCTGTTTAATACTGAGGATCAGAATTTTAAAACAGTCACAACCTTGATAAATGGCATGTTAAATAAACTGAAGCTTGCAAAAAGTGATCAGATAACAAAAATGAGAAAATTCAACTCTAGCTCAAAGGACAGCTGATACAAAAGCAAATTGTCTAGTAAGGACAGGGCAACACTGTCAGAAAGAAAGGTGCATATCCCTTCTGAAACACCTCCCCATCCAGTACAGCTGGTATTTTCCACAGATCTCATGCAAACTAAAAATACATTGGGGTGAAATTCTGCCCCCATGGAAAGAAATAGCAAAATGTTCTTTGATTTTAAATGCACAGTTTCTACAATTGCACACTCAGGGGGATTCTCTGCCTATTAAGCATCACAAGCAAGTGAATAAAACTATAATTAATTTTCACAAAGACAAGAACAGTGGACAGCAGAGGAGGAGGACTGTTTAAAAGAGCTTCCGAGAAGCTCTTTTGACCTAAATTTGGAGATTTTCCAAGAACCATCTGGAATATAGTCACCTCACCACAGGATAATTTTTCTCTTTTGTCTGGCAGTCTGTTTATTTTCCTTCTTGAGAATCCAGCATCAAACAGAATAAAAAATGACCTTTGACTGGATCTTTTTGTGGCATGCAATGAAAGAACTGATCCAAAAAAGTTCAATGTTCGAATAAGCACCTACTGAACTTGAAAGGAATGTTGGAAGTGATTGGGAAAACAAGATTACATCTTGAAGTTATGTATCTGTAGTATTTCTTTATTCTATTGACCACACAGGGAAGTCATCACAGCTGGTCTTCTTTAGAGTTATACTACAGAGAAGAGAGTGCCAAAGTCTTATCAGAGACTTTACAGTTCCAAAGTCTTAAATTTTACCTGCTGAGAATAAGCATCCCTACTCAGCTTTAAAAAAAAAAAAAATTTAAAAAATGCATGGACATCCAGCTTATCTTCCAAAGAACATTCCATGGGAATGGCAGAAAATGTCTGCTGCTACCTCCCTAGGGATGGGGAAATACTAAATTAATATTTTAATACAATATCACACTCATAACAAACTCATTTGAAAACCAAATTGGGAAAGCTGTAAAATGCCACATGGAAAATTAGAAAGTGACAAGGTCTTACAAAAAGCTTGACAGCTGTGCTTGATGGAACTCTGAAAAAGATACTAATTTACTAATTTTACTCATGTAGAGCACATGGCTGTTGACTGCTCTTTTCTCCCAACCACTCACCTGTCCAGCCAGATTCTCCTACCCCTTCTGCCAGTTCTTTTCAGTATTAATGATACCAAGTATGTGTACACATGACAGGTCTATATCATTTGCTCTCCATTTTCCCAGAGCAGACTATCACACAGACTAAGCAAAACCAGCAAAAGAAGGAAATGAGCCCTAGTTTAATGGACAAAAAAATCCCAAACCAAAAACAACAACTTAAAAACTCAGCACTTTTCACTACATTCAATATAGTGAGGAAAAAGTCACAGTCAACTTATAAAAAATATCTTTGTGACACCAAAGCTACAGTAGGGTAAATGTTGTCATTAACAGAAGCATTCCCAGTTCTCCAGTTTACAAAATATGGAGCTGGGAAGTCTTGGCTTTCACTCTGCCCTTGATGGCCACTTACATCACCTTGGTAAAATACATGGGAGTGGAGAGGAGGTGCACATATGTGCACATGCTTGTGCATGTGTGTACATGAAAATATTAAAAACCTTCTGCACTTTCTTCACCACTGTTCCCATGTGTTTAGCAGTCATCACACAGTTTCTGTAAAGCCACATGGCCATTCTCCATCTTAAGCTTATTATTACATAAAAGGCAAAAACATTTGGAAAGAACTTCTTACAAGCTGTAACTCAGTTCAAACTGAGTAGGCAGTGATCATCTTCTGATCATCAGTTTTATCTTCAGCTGCACAAATTCTCTACACCAGATAACACAATGTGCATGTTTCATGTGAAATGCCACTGACAGAGCTCAGGCCAAACCAGCATGCCAACACAAGACAATAAAACAGCTTGAGTGGAGATGAGATAGTACTTAAAGGGTTTTATCTATACACCTTTTGGACTGGGTCTATTTCATACTGTGTGATTTTTCAGGTAAAACTGCAACTTTGCATCACAGCAGTCTAATCACCAAAAAAAAAAAAAAAAGGAAAAAAATTTTTAAAAATTAAAAAAAATTTTAAAAAAAAGTTTTCTAACGGTGCAAACAGACTTATTTTAAATGTTAAAAAAATTAAAAATAATTTATAGCATTTTTATTTAATTTCTCCCAAAGAGGCTCTTTCTTTATTTATAGCAGAAAAAACAATGTTATACTTTGGCTTACTTCATAAGAATACACACTAAAACAACCAAAACATAAATAAGATAATCTTCAAAAAAATTAAATGGAGTTAAAACTATAAGTACTCTTCATAGAAAATATTTCTGCTAGCATTGTTTGAATTTAGCTTCCTGAATTGAAAGTAATAAAATATCTACACCAAAAGCCAACAATATTTAGTTAGTAGCACAATAAACATTTTATGTACTGTGGAATTGAATTTTAAATATTTTATATGTCACCTTTAGGAATAAATAATCCACAAGGCTTCTAGAAAAAGCAGCTTGCAGGATATAATACTATCACAAACATTAGCATATACCTCTAAATGACAAAGTGGGATGGGAGGATGTCTGCAAATATATTTCACTTTGCAGAAAAACGTTAGACTGAAGAGTATGCTCTTCACTACTGTGAAAAAATTACTTCGGTTGATTGACTCAATTATACTTGAACTTGCATGGCTTTTTTCTCACCCAACAATTTTAACACGATAATTTTAAAAAAGGAAAAGAAAAAAATATCCTCTGGCTACTGCTTTCGTTTTGAAATGTTGCAATTATATTAAAGTTATACTATTGCTTAAATACTGACTAAGTAAAAAAATAGTTTGAATTCACTTTGTCATATATCACATTCCGAATGTATCTACTGAACTCCCACTCAGAAATAAATCGTGAACATGAGGAAAAGATAATTTATGAGTTGTCAAGAAACCAGATTTTAACACTTACTTTTGTGAAGATCTGAAAAAAGTCAATTGCAGGTGGCAATTGAGACTCATCCTGGATCTCAGTTTTCAAATACAGTTGCAAAGTCTGTGCAAGGTGCCTGAGGCCATCTTTCATTTCTTCACTTAGCCGTTCAGTGTCTTATTGGGAAATGGAAAAAAAGTAGACCATGTCATAAACAGAACATTTCATCAACATTTTGAAAACATCCAATGGCAGCCATACAGCCTAGACATTTCCAGTCCAGGAATTAATCTTGACAGAGGGCAATTTTGACAGAGGGCAGACATTTCTCATCCTTCATGACAGTTACCTATCAACACACAGTAGAGTTTATCAGGTTGCTACTGCCAAATCATATGAATGGGACAGCAAGTTAAAGATCAAAAGCCAATAGATAAAGCAGATGTGTAAGCAGATGTAAGACATTACATACAAAAATTGGGCATCTGGGTTTGTAACATTAACCACATTAGAAATATGCTTGGAACTTTATGCAGCAGTACATACTTTTATACTGCATTCTCCATAGATGTGTCAGAAACACTTTATGGTAACAGATGAAACAGAAAAGTATTTATGAACAAAAGGAGCTTCATACAGAGCAATGGGTAAAAAATTTATATTAAAAAATAATAAGTAAATATCACATTATTATAAAGCACCACTATTCATGTTTTTCAGATACAAATCCTGAACCAGAAAGAATCACAGTGCTTCATTTTCTAATTAAGTGATTATGCATGCATCAAGTTTCTGATAATGCTGGAAGTGAAACTGCTCCTGTCCTAGCAAGTTCACTGCCTGACTACCTGCTTCACATTTTCTTTTTCCTACCAGTTAGTACAAAATGGAGAATGTAAAGCAGAACATGTTCAAACACTAGTCTATAACAAAAGGCAGAGATTTATGATGCACTATGAATTAATTTTATCTCTGCATAATGGTGAATTGTTATTTTATTATAAACATCTATAGATGCTCACAGCACTATCCAAGTGCAATTAACAGTGTGGATGTTTGCAGGTGATTTTGTAAGCATGAATGAATGTAAATGTTAGAAATCCAGACATGTATGTTTTTCACAATGTACAGAAAATCTCTGGTATAGAAAAATATAGTACCTATGAGGACTGTGTCTTCAAGAGAAGCAGCAAACTTTCAGATGACTGAAACAATCAAGTTTTAAAAATATAAAAGAAAAATTATAAAAACACACTTGCATGTTTCCTTTGGAAACAAAAATGCTTTTACCTTCAAATGTAATTAATCAAGACAACAAGTGATTTACCTTAAACTAACTATAATACATTACAAAATGTATTATAACAAAGAGAGGAAGGCATGGTTTGTTTCACTGCTGGCAAATATAACAACCCTAGATTAAAGAAGAGAAATCATATAAGAAGCACGTTACAAATGGACACTGTAGCTTAGGGCAGATGTGAACATGAATACGAAAACCAACTGGAACTTCAGGGAGAACTGATAGAGATGGAAGCAGAATGCAATTATCCACACTGGAATCTGTCCAGGACATCAGAGCTAATGATCCAGAAAAAAAATCCCATTGGAACCTTAATGGAAAATGATCAAGACCTGGTTTATCAAGCACATTAAAAAAAAAGGCAAAACAAAATGAAATTAAATTTGTGTATGTTTTCAATTTTTGTTTTTAAGGAACTTTTTTCACTTGTTTAAGAAACCTGATGTGGGAGACAAAATGCAACAAAAGGCCTATGAAAAAATTTCTAAATAAGGCGTGGGGATTTAGTTATGTAACTCTGATTCTTACACAATTAAAGTAGCAAAATATGTGCCCCATAATACAGCACACAAACCATTTTCTGAATACTGAGTCTTGGTAAGTAAAAACAAAGATGATTTCTGAATTGCTGTAACATACAGACAGCTCAGAGAACTAAGGAAGGAAGGAATTGTCTTAAGATAAATGAGAAGTAGCAAAAGTAACAATGCTCAGAGAGACCCCTCCTACTTAATCTGAGTTTCAGAACATCTAAAGGAATTTCAAGGAACTACGGAGATTGGAAAAGAACTTTATAAAGGGCTGGATGCCTCCACATGCTTTGTGGTTTTTCATGTATTATATATTTTAGCAGCTAATTATTCAAAAAGTGTATAAAACTTTACACTTCTATTCAGTTTATATGTCTCCCGCACTAAAAATCAACCAACAGTATAAAGTAATGTTGAAAAGTAATAGTGTAAAGCAAAATGAGACAGCATAGTGTCAACAACAATTTTTTAAAATAACATATTTTGGAATTACAAGTTGGGGGGAAGCCCAAAAAGAAGATTAAAAGAGTATCAATGAGAATTCTGTCACATTTCTAATTAGTGTTAAAACAGTATCTTCTATTACAAAGATGCTTCCTGCGAATATTTTTGTTTCGGATTACAGCCTGTATTCATAGTTCATGTGATTCTATTCAAAAAAATCTTTTCTCCTATATACATAGGCCTCTAATGAAAATGCATTTCTGATTTTCCTATAGAATCCACTAAGTACACAAAGAAACAAAAGTTTTATCAACACCATTCATAAATTGTGCAGCAAATGGGGAAATTGTTATGAAACAACTGAAGCTTTTGGAGCATACAGAGGCAGCAAAAAAAAAAATCACAGCTACCAAAAGTTCTCACACCAACCTAAAAGACTTTTGGAGTTTTTAGACTCCAAAACCATAGAGATCATCTATTCACTCTAACAAGGAAGCCAGGAAAACAACACAAGTAAAGAGGCAGCCAAAACCTTTACATAAGATTATGCATAGGCCATTTGTACTGTAGCCTGAAGTATCAAGTTCAGTTAATGTGTTAATGTCCTAAACTCTTGGTGCTGTGGAGTTAAGAAGATTCCACAGGAATTGTTATTAAGTAAGTACAGATTAAGTACAGAGTAAGTACAGATTAAACACTACATGTGGATCTCTCATTTGTCTTCTCCTAAACTAACTGGTTATGTACCAGTTATTTCTGTATCAGTGAGAGGACAGTCATCCCATCTGTATCACAGACCCTATCACCATTTCCTTCAGAATGAGAATTTTAGCAGAAGCTTCTGGCCAGTCTACAGACTTTTGTACCCTTTATCTATTGCAGCTCAGGCTTGTTCAACACCAAGCTTCTCTCCAGACAACTTATCACACTATTCCCCTTGTCTCCAGTCAAGTCAAGGAAAGCTGAGATCATCTCCTGAAGGGTACTAAGAAACCAGTTTGTATGGAACAATCAGTTAAGTTACAAAATAATCTTTGCCTACACTAGAGACAACTGCTGTATAAGTGATCAATATTTAATTTATAAAGGGAGGCTCTTCCAGTCCAGTTCCTCCTGCATCACTCTGCAATCAGCCATTGGTATAATAAGGACTCTTTCCTTGGATCCCAGCAGTGTAATGAAGCATAAAAGTCCATAGTCTACATAATTTTAACTTAATTTGAAGCATCTGTTTTCCATAAACCTTTGTTACATGAACTGAGAATATCTATTGAAGAAAATCACTATGTTTTAAATAACTGAAATCTATCCATTTTAATTTGCTGCCTTGTTAAGGTATTTTGTCCTTGCACTTTGGGACAAGGCAGCAGGATGGCAGGGTGTTCGGAAGTAAAATTAATATTATGTGTTGCATTTTTTATGTTTATATAGGTTTTATTTCTAACTGTACCAACTGATCAAGCCGGTTTGTAGCCAAAACTCTGAATAATATTAAAACATTGAGGTAATCAAAATATTCACATTACTGTCCAGAAAATCCCTCTAAGCAAGATGCAAAAATGAACCAAGAATCTATTTCCTTCTAAGTCTTCAAGATGCCAGAAAATATGAAAAAAAATGTTTCCTATTTTAACATTTGTTCTGCTGAGAGATTGTAATGAGCATCTTTTTCTACCCAAACAGTAGAAACTTCTGAAGCCTCGAAAGTAATAACTGCACAATTTCCTCTTTTTTCTCTATTGAAAGGTCACATACAAGAAAAATATATACATATCCCTTTTAAATTTAACTTTCCTATTTCTGGAGTCTATTTTGAAGCTTTATGCAATAGCACATAAGTACTAAAAAAGTAAAACCCTAGTAAAATATATGTACTATTGTATATGTATGTAGAAATATTGACACTGTATGTAGTAAGGCAGACACTGGGTAATTAAAAAATGAGCAGGCAAGATTTTCATTGTAAAATGCAAAAATAAAAATACTAAAGGAAAAAAAAAACCAGGAAGGTTTTGCTTCAAGAAAACAGGCATGTTTTTCCATTTATCTTTGAAATAACTTTCTTTCCCACAGAGGTTTTTGTCTTTGACTCTGTTACTCCACAGAGCAAACCTTCAGAAGGCAATCTGCAAGAAAATCAGATGGCCGTTTCGTAAAGCAGACCTGGGAAGTGCTTCCTGAAATCTGGCTGGCAATTACTTACTTGACTGAAGATCAGAAAAAGAATAGAGTCTCTCAGAAGGGCATACTGATTGTCTGAGCTGTAGAGCAAAAACAGATAATTAACACTCATACAGCATGTTTTATCCTGCAAACACTCTACAAGACTGATTATTCTGTGTGATAAATGTGTCAGATAATCAGGTAAGGCCAAAAGCATCAACATAAATCCAGGACTTTGCATAAACTATCCTAAAAAACTTAATTTCTTTGTTGTTATAAGACTTTCTACTCATTTTGAATTCTTTTAACACTTTGGCAGCTTACCTTTAGTAACTTACTTTATCAGACCATAATTGAAATCAGATTATGAGGTTTGTAGTTTCAGAGTTCATGTGACTATAATTAATGCACAGTATTGCAAGGTACATATTTGCCCTTTAAAATCTATCATGCACAAACTCTTCACAACAATGTATAAAATAAGTGTGAAATCATATTTTATCACATCAGCAACAACAAAGGCCTGCACTTTTATCCAACACAGACAGCATCATAGCAGGTTCAGCAAAAAAATTTGATTTACAATCCCACACATTTATAAGCTGCTTAAACTAGCAGAAAATTTAGTCCATATAAAGTAATCAAACTGTGGGAATGTCAAACACCCAGGACTTCCAAGAGAGTTTAGAAAAATGTTAAAAAAGGTAATTGAGCTTAAGAGAACCCCACATAGACAGCATGGCATTATGCCCTCTAAATAAAGGGCTAGCTACGAGTGCTTCTGCCCTTACCACTCATTCAAACACCTAATGAGGTCTCCATTAGGTTAACAGAAGCGCACCAATAACTTCAGTAGTATTGAAGGGAAAACAGTGTCTCTCTATGTTTTTCTTCCAGGCAGGAATAAGCTTAGAATACTACTACATAGCCATAGGAAAATAAAGTCAATAAACACGTCCCTTGAGCTTAGTCATGTCTGTTTTGGAATTTCTTGATCCTTTCAGCATTTCTGCAAATTAATCAGTAAACTTGTAATGCAATTTGCAGTCTAATTTTTTTCAGCACTCCCAGTCACTTCAGCTTTGTAGTTCATAATTGCATTAAAAATGTAGACTGAGAAAGCATTTACCAGAATTTGCTGCACTGAATCAATCTAAAAGACTATCACTTACTAGTTTAAAAACAATCCTTCCAGCAAGTCTGACAGAGTCTGGAGGAAAATTGGGCTCGATGCTCTTAAGACACTTGCATTCCTGCTTGTGGTCCAGCCAAGCTTCTTTCTATCAGGATATTTTGAAAAGGAAGAAAAAGAAAATTAAGTGCATTTTATTTTACATAATCTGTATCCTACTTTTTTTATACGTACATACTTATTTTCATATATATAATTATCTGTAGTTATATATGCACAGAAACAATATGCACTCAAAACAATATGCACTAATTCTCATTTGTTGTGGCGTGAAGCAGCAACAGTATGTAGCTGCTTACTTCACAAGACTGGAGAGATCTAGAGAGGATGCTACCTAACATACACAAAACTCTAGGCATGTGTTCACTCAGCAATCAAGACTGCAGAGGCCTTTAGAGTCCTTCACTAAATGCAGCTGCTCTAATGCAATGGTCAAGTTTTCTGTGCTGCAAAGACTGTCCCCAAATATCCCTGAGCTGATCAGATATCAATGCCCACAGCTGGAAGGACTGGTAGTGATATTTTTCACAGTTCAGACCAGGAGTGGTCACTGATACCAAAACAGAAGACAGAACCAAGAATATTTTATTTACATATATTACCCAAACCTGAAATTTTGTTTCACAGGCCATTTAGATTAGAATAGCAGAGACAGACTAACACTTCCATAGCCGGGAAGAGTTGGGATGATAAGATAAAGGAAACATTGAAATATCTCTTTTTTCCTCTACCATTCATTGTTGCCCCAAGATTAGTGCAGAAAAGCAGCAAGAATGAGTCTTCAGCTAAAGAAATATGTTGGAAGAAAATTTCTGATTACTTTTTCTTCCTGTCTTCTGTCTCTACAAGCAGAAAATTCTGCTTATAATATACAAAAAAATCTAACATGCTACATATTTAAACATTTTATTTGCATATTCACAGTTCATGTTTGAAGCTACACAGCTGTTTCAAATAGTTTTAAAAGCAAATTAAAAGAACAGGGCACAACAAAAATTTGCTACAATGACAAGTACTCAGAACCAACGTCTCCTGAAGGTGACATTTTCTCACAAATTTGAGTAAGGGCAAAAACATGAACCCAGAAAACCAGTTTCTGCCAGGTGAGTGCCACAGAGAAAATGATTGTCTAATGTTAGGTACCTGTTCAGCAATTTTAAAAAAAGATAAAATGGCAGAGCTATGTGTAAGGGCACATCAGACCTGGAGATGCTGACATGCAAGTTATAAAGATTCCAAAGGCAATCACACAATTTTTTCCTAAGCTGCATTTAAGTGAGGGAATTGTTTCAGGTAACTAGGTTTCAGCACCAGTAGAATTTATTATATTTAATTCAGGATTTTTTCCCCTGTGGCTTACACGTAATAAATAAATGGAACTTTTTACTTCTTTCAGATACATGAGAGATTTGTAATTTCATTTCTTTTACCCATAACTCTACAAGGAGAAAAAATGACATCAAGAAGGCATTAATCCAAATACAGTTAGTGTCACATGCTGTCTGGCAAATAAAAGTTAAGTATTTAGTGCTGAATAGAATTATCCTTGTCTAGAAAAAACAAAGTCATGCTTGTAAATGTCCAGACATTGTTCTGTGTAATATAATTATATTGGCACTTTTATCCAACTTAAACTAAAAATGTTCCTAGGAGTAAACCTTTACTGTCAAAATTTTTTCCTCTACATAAATGTTGCACAGAATTTTAAACACGCTAGAGGTGACATCAAAATGATTAATAACTTACCCAACCAATATAGCTCTAATGAGATTAAATATTCTGGACCACATAGCATCATATGCCATGTTTCTCTGAGAGCATTCCCATGTGATAAGAATAGTTCAAACACATGCCTTTCATGAAAAAGCACTTTGGCCAAAACTGATGCTAAAAAGGAATCACTGATTCCTCTGCAGAAGGAGCTAGAATAGAATGGGGATTGCCAGTCACTTATTCCCAAATGGTCAGGGAAAGAGAGGAAAGCTCCAAATGCATTAAATATAATGAAATTCAACAATCTTTCTTCTTACTATCCATACAACATGGATACAAGTTACAGGACAATAGGAAAACAAAGATTTGTGACCCTGGAGAGATCTACTTTTAAATTCAGTCTCTAACAATACTTATTGGTTGGACTTATGTTAGTCCCACGTTTCTGGTGGGAGAGTTTTCTTAATTCTGTGTGTCCTGGCTTTCAGTTAAGATTTTTATATCGTATATCCAGCACAAGTATAAACACTGCAGTGCAGAGAAATGGCCACCTGGTATGACCCTTCTCCTCCATGCCAGGGAAGGTCCTCCAGTTTTGCAAAGATTTCTTTTCCCCTGTTAGAAATGAACACTAATAGAAGGAGGCAAAGAAAGGCAAGTGAACAATAGAGGGCAAAACCCTCCTCCTCAAGGTTTCACTACACTTAGGAACTTGGGAAGAATATCTTTATCTCCTCCCAAAGCATTGTCTCTCCTTCAATCTCAATGCATCCCAAGTGCAAATCCTCAGGCTTCACCCAAGGGAAAATGGTCAGCACCCACATGGCCACAGAGACTCTGCAGCACAGAGCTCTTTACTGGTGGCAGCTTGAGAGTCTGCCTTCTGAACCAGCACCAGACCAACTCCAACACCTCCCTGCACAAGCCAGGATCACCTCCTGCTGGCAAAGAACCCTCACAAATGCCTGCAATGTCTTGCATATTTTCAGCTGGGTGATCTTGCCAATGCACATCCATTCTTTCACAGACATAAGCTATTGCTGTCTCCCTTTGGAGCCTGAATCTACAAAGATCCTAAAGCAATGTTCATGAAACAAAGGTTTCCCTTGTCTTCTATGCAAGATCACAAAAAATGAATGCTTCCTGCAGTTTAATGTACTAAGAAAAAGCTGTTAAAGACTAGAGCTGATTAACCAAAAAAAAAAAAAAAAACCAGGATATTTTTCCATTGGAAGGTTTTGATCTGTTATAAGCAAACAATCTGTAATTTCCAAATGACTGTTTAAATTTTCCCAGAACGTCTTTTTTTAATTATGACATTTTACTTTTATTACATTATTTCAATAATGTTTGATAATATCACATTCAGAATTCTGCCTGAAATTACTCTTCCATTTTTCAGGGATTATCATCTATATCATTGGTCCCCAATCTATGGGATACACCACATTAATAAACATTGCCAGGGGTGATAACAACAGTGATTATGAGGAGCAGCAGATGTGATAATCCTAGCTTTGGAAAGACACCCAGCCAACATAACATTGCTAAAAGGCAGGCAACCCATGAAATTAGGCAACAACAAGTGGAAAAGGGGCTACAATAGGGAAATGCCAAATAGGGGCAAAAATCAATGAGGTCTGACTGAAAAAAAAAATTAAAAGTAAAAAATCTGTATGTACTTGATCCTGAAATCAGAGTTCAGTTGCAAAAGGTCAGCCCAAAGGATCTTTTGTGATAAGTTCTAGTTTCACATTTCTAATACTTTTTAAATTAAATTAAAGTGGTAAAAGTGAAAACAGCTTGCTTCAACTGGCCTGAAAAGGAAAAATAATGGTATTTTTTAAATTTGGAACAACTCACTCATAATCTTTAAAATAGTTATTATGGAGATTTGTAAAAAGATGGATATTCTGATTTGTTTATAGGTTTTTTTCAGGACTGCCAGCTCTGCATACATATTCCCTTAAAAGATAACTATTCTCACTGCAAGTTACAAGAACAGAGACATTTTCAAAGACTATTTCTTCTCCTTAAGTTTAGCCTGAAGATAGTTTTTTGTACCACTTCACGTTTTAAAACAAATTAAGATGTTTACAAGATATTTGCAGCTTAAAAACAGCTCATTTTGGAACACTCTGAAATGTAAATCCCCTCTTGCATTTACACTGAAATTTCTTTCACAAAATCCACCATTATTCTGGACCCCGTACACCTACTGAGATTAAACTTTTTAAAGTCAGATTTTTTTGTATTAATTCTGTTTTCATACAATGTATTAATTACAAAACTCCAGAACAATTACAAGTTTTAAGCCTAAGTGTTTTGAGTTGCAGTATCACACATTCAAAAATAATTAAATCCTTCTGCAACTAAGTGTGAACTGCAAATTCAACTGCATAATTTGCACTTCAAAGTTATGTATATTAATAAAACTAAGATAGTCCTGTTTTGCCAATATTCACTTTTTTAAATGCGCAAAATGCAGTTTCATCAATACCCTGCTGCTTATGTGTTGACCAATTAGTTCAATTAGAAGAATTCAAGAAGAAGCACATATTAATGAATTGCACTTAAATTACAGAGGCTAAGTAGGGCACAAAACATTTGGTTTAGCTTTCCTAACAGCTACTATAAAACCAGAGCAGCACAATGGTTTAGCTGGCTTATTAGAACAAATATGAATCAGAGCACAGTTCTCAAGAGCAAAGAGATCTGGCTGGTCTCAGTTTTATCTGTATCACCTGTTTCAAGTCATCAATCCCAATAAATTCACTGCTTTGACTACAAAATAACTTCTTTTTTCCTGTTATTCTCTATCGCTACATAATATCACAGGATATTACATATATTAATTAAATATTAATTTATTTATATAAACAGTTCAAGTAATTATGTAACTGCCAATACACAGCGTGTTATGTACAGATTACTTTTAGCAGCAGTAGCCTATCTCACTGAAATCCTTACCTACAACTATGGATGGCTTCAAGCACGTGCATCCCAGAGCTGGAAGCACAAAGCAAAGACACTCAGGTTATCCCTTATGAATCCTCAAAGAATGTTCACACAGCTGTGCTTCCCAAAGAGGAAGCTCCAATTCCTACCTCCATTACCTCTACACCTAAGTTGAACATTGCATTACACCTTGCAGATTTGCTTTTGCAGGTCAGTGTCAGCAGTCTCATTTCATATTCAAGAGCTGCCAACAGAACCTTTACCAATGAATCTCCTAGAAGACATGTTTTAAACTTACCTTGCAAATACTCTGGTCTTTTATAGTCTTTACAGCCATGTTTTCTTTATGATCTCCCATAATAAATCTACCTGTGGCATTATTATTGATGGTACAGTAAGCACCTAATGTACACTGCACACATTTGCCATACGATGAATCAAAAATGACAGATCTTCCTCTTTTCCCTCCCCGTATGTTTTAACCCCCAAAAGGAGGGATTTGTAGGATCTTGAGAACACTACAGATTAAATTAAAGCAGAATTGTTCATAGAAGCACATGATATGTGACAAGACCAGCCCTGAGGAGAAAGACTTGGGGGCGTTGGTTGTCAAGAAGCTCAACATGACCCAGCAATGGGCACTCACAGCCCACAGAGCCAAACATGTCCTGGGCTGCATCCAAAGCAGGGCAAGGGATTCTGCCCCTCTGCTCCACTCTGGTGAGACCCCACCTGGAGTCCTGCCTCCAGCTCTGGTGCTCTCAACACAAGAAGAACATGGAGCAAGTCCAGAGGAGGGCTACAAAGATGACCAGAGAGCTGGACCACCTCTCCTATGGAGACAGGCTGAGAGACCTCGCAGCAGCCTTCCAGTACCTGAACAGGGGGCCTACAAAAGAGCTGAACAGGGACTGTTTACAAGGGCATGAAGTGGAAGGACAAGGGGAAATGGCTTCAAACAGAGAGTATACTTAGCTTAGACATTAGGAAGAACTTCTTTACTGTGAGGGTGGTAAGGCACTGGAACAGGTTGTTCAAAGAAGCTGTGGATGCTCCATCCCTGGAAGTGTTTGATGCCAGGTTCAATGGCATGCTTTGAGCAATTCTTTGAGCAACCTGATCTAGTGGAAGGTGTCTGCCCATGGAACTAGATGATCTCTAAGGTCCCTTCCTACACTAACCATTCTATGATGCTTTCATTCCATGATCATTGGAATGTCGAAGACTTAACTTAAAAAGTTATAGAGTATTATTGCTAGTCTACTTTGACCAGTAGCTTCTTTTCTTCATTTTTCTCTATTTAGGAAAGGAAAATAAATTACCCACACACACCCCCCCCCAAAAAAAAAACCCAACCACTACCAACCCCCACCCTCCCACCAAAAAAAAAAAAAGAAATTCACAGTGCAAAACTATGAGGAACCATTTAAAACTTCAAGTGTCCTATAAGGCAATCCTCTATATCAAGTCAAATATAAAAGTTGAGATTTTAGGCCTTTGAGAACTTTTCACCTTTTAGAAATATTTCATAGGACAGAATCACAGGTTAACTCAGGCTGAATGGATCTATGGAGAGCTCCAGTTGCGATGCAGGGTCAGCTCTGGGGTCAGACCCAACTCAGAGCTTTATCCAGCAGGGTCTCCAAACCCTCAAACACAGAGATCACACAAACAACCTGGAAATTTCTTGGCTGTCAAGAGCTTTTCCTTATATCCCATATGAACCTCTGGTCTTTGAACTTAAGCCTCTTGTCCCTTGTCCTCCTGCCACGAACCACTTTCACTTCTTGAAAATCTCCTCAGAGAAGCAGTTTTCCTTAACACCTTCTCTTCTCAACAGATACTTGACCCTTATTTCCTCTTAAAAAACTGGAATATAGAATTTGCATTATAAAAAGTACTCCTGAAATGCAAATTGTTTTACTGCAAAATTGACTTAAGAGATTCCAGTCTACAGACAAGCTTAGGAATTATTCCTCCCCCACTCACCAAGTGCAGTCAAACACCACACATTTCAACTTATTTTTGTCTTTTGTACTTATCAGAATCTCACATTTGTAGCTTTAAAAATACTCTAATAAAACAAGCCAGCATTTTTACCCACCCTGTCCAAAACTACAAATAAATCACAGTGTAGAGGTAAGACAACATGCAAAAGGTATGGAGACTCCGTAAAAAAAATTCTTCAAATGCCTATTTTGTTAAACCCTTTACAGCTGTTATTTTTATCTTACCTGACAAGATCTACCACAGTATTTAGCAACCTTGCACTGAGAGCACCTGTGCAGATTTTCATTCCTGTTTAGAAAGAAAAAACAGAAAGAAAGAAAAAGGGTTATAAATACAGATCAAGTTTTGTATTTATCCTTTTTACCTAACTAGCAATTTCCAAATATTCCAAGTCACAAAAAAATATATTTAAAACAAGAATCATCTGAAATGCACTGTAATGCAAGAAGAAATTGTACATAGTTATGTTCAAAGCTATAGTCACAACCCTTTACTTGCGTCACTCAGCATCTCTGGGGCCATTTTGGACCAGCAGGAAAAGTATCAAATGTGCTTTTGTCATGTAGCTGTAACGCTGAGGAGTTGGATTTTGTAGATAACATCATAATTAGAGCTGTGCAATACAGCTAGCTAATCTATTTACTAAGCCTTGTCTTAAGCAAGCAAGCATCACTATCTGTCTTAAACAAGACCTTGCAGTAAACCTGCGACTGTGACATCAAATATTATCTTTATAACACAGTCCAAAGTTGACATGTCACCAGAAATTTCTATTCTAAGAAAACACTTCTGATCAGTGGACAATGAAAGCAAAATAAAAATTCATAGATGAAGTATAAAAATCCAAAGAAAACTAGAAGGAGAACTACCAGACCTATACATTACAATCTAAAGGTTAAAAGCACCTCCTGCCTTGTAGTACTGTTTTCTGATACTGTCTTAATTTAGCTATATGACTTCATAAAACATCACTGAAGTTCTGCACATTTTTAGACAGTAAGTAAGCATTTAATGTGAAAGCACACACAGAGCAAATCTTGTACCTCAAGTAGGTAAGTAAAGATATTTACTTCATGGGGATAGAAATTAGTCAGATTTTGAGGCTATAGCAAAAACCAACCTCCCCTTTCCCTCAGGTTCCACAAGTGAGAAAGGTATTTTGCTGATATATCGAAGTTTTACTATGTTTGAATTATTAAAAGTAAGAGCTGATGCATTATCTTAGGACTCTTATAGGCATTTGGGGAGTTTAGATAGCTGCACTGGTCAAATAGTAAGAAGAGTATTATGAACAGTTCATTAAAATCAAGTAAAAATATTTTCATTAGTACTGCATAAAAATCCCTATTTTGTCACACAATATTTTGTAGGTATTCATACTAACTACCAGGAGAAAAACAGATATAAGTAGATGTTTTCCTACAGCATTCTTTACCTTCCTTCCTGAAAAGCCAGCCCTTGAGACAGAAAAAACTAGCAACTGTTGGATTTCTATAAACAGAATCGAAAATCTTGTACATGTACAATAGGTTTTCAATTTTAAGGTGCAATGCCTGAGGATGATTCAGAGTTAGAAACAAGTGTGAAATCTTCATTTTGCCAGCTGGGGAAAGCTGCTTCATCTTCAAGGTTGTGCAATGACACAACCTTGACCACATTCTGGTAGAGGAGGATATATTTCTCAATTTAGATTAGAAGCTCAAGCAAAAACACTTTGAAGGTAGACTTTGTTTGTTCTACGTGTTATTCACCAAAACACAACACTGAGTTCAGAGTGTGAAAATGGAGCATGTGCAATTTTAGTCCCAAACACACTGAAGTACCGCACAGTCCCAGCGGCAACAGGTAAGATGAAAATTTTCGAAGCAGAGTAATTAGAACTTTCTGGAAGCTGAATTTAAATTAATCAATACCTACAACAATCAGAGAAGTCTTTCCTACAGTTTTCACATTCTTCTGTGAGACAGCTAGATGCAATAACCTTAACACACTGCAAGGATACCTGGCCTTGGTATATCTCTTGGCAATTTTCCAAGAGATGCCAGGATTTACTGGAATCATTCGTGTCAAGTCACCAACACATATTCCATCTTTCTTTTGTAACACAACAAGCAGACATGTTACCACAAAGCACCAAATTCCCTCAGCAACCTTGGAAGCTTCAATACTCTATGTTGATATTTCCTTCGTATCCTTTGTCCCCAAGGTTTAACGATGCTGCAGTAACAAACACATACACAAAAATCTAAGCACCACTCAAAACTGGAATTTTTGTCAAACTGACACTTCAGTCAGATTATCTGAATAAGGCGACTCCCTCCTGGTGCCATTTAATGAATGAATTATCCATTCATCTTTGAGATTTCTTTGAATGACAAGTAGATGTAGAATGCCTGTCAGAGAGCTGAATAGTAAAGCTGCTAACGAAATCATTGCCTTCTCTTCCAATCCTTCTTTCCCCTCCTGGACCAAAAAAAAAATTCCTTTGTATTTATAACATCACTGGATCATCCTACATGGCATACTAAGTGTAAAAGAGCATGATCTAAAGCACTAACTCTTAAATCCTTCATAGTCAGATTCATGTATTCATATATGGACAATTTGTGTATTTTAGAACATTTTAAGAAGAAAGGCAATTTCCCTGGTATATTTCTGTCCTTCTCAATATGCTATTGATGTCATAGGCTTTATTAAAGGAATTTTAAAGTCACTGTCAGATACTCCCATGCATTTCTTATTACCTTTAAACTTCACCTGGAGATAGCATCAGGTCCCTTACAAAGAACCTACTACATCTCACTTAATGTGACTAATTTAATGGATGAGAAAATGCACAAAATTTGATCTAATGGATTCAGTTATACTTTATTCTCTAAAAAAGTTTCTGCTGCAACAAAAAAGGAAAGATGCAGCAACTAAAAATAAATTATTAATTTTCCAAAACAGTATAAACAGGATTTTGCAAATGACCACCACCCCTTATGAAACAACAAGTATAAGTGAGCATCTTGGTTCTAAAACACTCAAAACAAAAAACAACAACAAAAACCAAAACCCACAAGTAAGCAGGGTTTGTCAGTTGACCTCTAACATAGTATTATGGTCAGGTGAAGAATCTTTCCTCTAAAGAATTTGGTTATTTCTAAATCTTGCCATTATGGTCTACAAACACTGTTCATAGAATTAGCTCTTCCAATGTGTACTGAGAAGGCAAAAGAGCAACACCAAATGCAGAGGTAGCTAGAATAATTTCTAGGAGATTGATATAGGCAGGAAACGAAAGAAAACGTATGAGAAAGGAAAAAAACAAGAAAAACAGCTCAACCGGAATTGCCCCAGTGGACACACCCTCCCAAGAAATTTATTTTTTCTTTTTTAACACATGATTAAAATCTTAAGAAGAAGGTGAAGAAGTTAACAAGGGTTTGCCTGGACTAACAGGTCCTATCAGAGTCACACCTGCACTTGCATAACTTAAAAAATATGTGCACTTTTAAAAACATCACATGATATGTTCTGCTTGCCAGGAAATGGCCTAATAAATTTCAAATACCACAACAAAGTCAACCAAATACAATTAGTCTACTTAATTTATAATGGAAATGCATCTACACTTCTCTGCTGATTGCAGGCACTTGACTTTCAGCCCTACTCACAAGATAAGTGTCAGATATAACACAACTGATTACCAGACTGTGTTCAACGTGCCTTTCTATGTAGTTTATTCACACTTCTGCTTCTGCCACATCTTGCCGGAAAACAGGACTATCTCACACAAATTCGCTCCTGCATTTTTGTTGTTGATATTGTTTTTCAGTTAATAATCCTGCCCTGTACACATGAATGAAAAGAGCAGCTCTTTCCAATGCACGTCAAGCTGAACTAATTTCCTGAACAAATTCTTAGATCTTTGCGATTCAGTCAAGCCTGTCAAGTGCATAAAGTCTTCTTGGATTTTCTCAAGTATGTGCATTTCAGACCTGTCACAAAGTGAAAGCAATCAATAGCTACAGTTAGCTAAGAAGTCATTCATCATTTTAACTAATATGCTCTGTCTTCCAATAACAAAAATAAAGTTGTGAAGAACAAACAGCCATCTTACATTTGGTAGATTTGAGAGCACAGGGGTTATGTTAAATGCAATTACAGCTTTCTCTCCACACCTCTCTCCCAATAATGAGGTGTAGCAACACAGTTGGTCCCCAGCTGTTACTCCACTGCTGACTCACGTGGGTACCAGGCACGCTGGGGAAGATGGCTCTGAGGACAAGGATGAAAAGTGCTGAGGGCCAGGCAGCATAACACAGGGCTTATGTGTCTGCAACATCCCAAATCCAAGCCCTGGGCGAGCAACAACTCTGCAGCCCGTGAGTTCTTCCCAGCCTCTCTGGTGTCCTGGCTGCTGACTTGGCTCAGCCTGGCGGGCTCATGGTTCTCCCTTGGCCAGGACCCTGGACCTGCTCTGCAATCTCGGATGAGTTAGCAGAAGAGAAGATGTCTTCCACAAGGTCCATGGCCCACAGTCTCTGAAATAAGCCTGCCAGGCTTTTCTGCCCTGAGGTTATGCTGTACACTGCTCTCAGGTCCCACACTGGATCTGGAATACACCAGGTAAGAAACCTTTGAATTCCCTGCTCCTAAAAGTAATAGAAAGAATCTCCCATATTCTCCACTTGCACACTTCACTGTGTTAAGTATACAAATTAATATTTTTTAACCTAAGAGCAGCACTGGGAAGCAGCTTTTTGGGAGGAAGAACTGGAGTTAAAAGATAGCAACTACAGCTAACCATCAATGATCAGAGTCATTATTCAAGTGAGAACTAAGACCTTTTATATAAGGAAAATATACCTACTTTAATTCCAAATAAAATGATCATCTATTTCATACCTCAACCTTCTACAGAAGTGGTATTGCATTGTCCAGGTAAAAGAGAACACAAGAACAACCAATCTGTTGATGAAAATTTAATTAAGACAATTTGCACTCTAAAGGACACTACTTACTAACAGAAACAAAAATTTGGCACTCAGGACGACTCCCCATAACTTAAATCTTGGTTTCTGAAGTCTTACTCGTAACCCTGAATGTCCACTTGCTGTTATTTTTTGTAATTCTTGTTATACCTAGACATTCACTTAACACCCTGAAACATTTCTGCATATATTCTACAAGGAAAAATCAGAATTCAAATGAATGAGGAGAAAGATTATCCTTCTGCGTAGAATAGGTGTCTGTTCAAACCTTACAAGTGTTTTTTTACATATGTATTTACATCTGTATTT